TACATTGCTTCGGTGAGGATAGTTATTGTGGAAGGGTGTGAGTGTGGCTGGGGGTGGGTGTGGGTGTGGGTGTTGGTGGTGTGGGTGTGATGTAGTGAAAACAAGACTCACACCCACACTCACACTCACATCCACGCCCACACCCACCCCACATCCACACACACACCGACCACACCCACACCCCACACCCACCCATACCCACATCTTTACGATGAAAACTTGATATGGTAATGAATATTGCTAGTGGAATGAGAAGAATACATGAACATCGAATGATACATAGAGATATTCGACCTGATAATATTCTTGTAAATGAAAATTATGTAGCTAAAATTGGTGATATAAGAATAGCACGTGTTATTGATCCTTTAAATCAACAAACACAAATTGGATGTGCACCATATATGCTACCAGAATTCTATCGTGGTACTTATGATCAAAAGCTCGATATTTTTACATTTGGTTTAACATTAAATGAACTTTTTACTTAAAAAAAACACATATTTCGCATGTTAGCTAGTAACAAAATTGCTTTTCAGGAAGAAAGTCCTATATTTGCTGATTTGATCGCTCGATGTACTGCTGATGATCCTAAACGACGTCCGACAGCGACAGAAATTGAAAAAAACTCTTGATCTATATATTACTGGTTTCAATGAAATTATACTTAAAAAACATCCAAGTTATATGAATTTGTCTACTGAAGATCAAAATGAAATATTTATTGCTTTCTATCAAAAATTTCATCCATCAGCAACTGAATTTATTCGTAATAAATTTCCATCTGAATTTCTTGATAATTCAGAAAATGTACCTGGAGTTAAAGTTGATAAAGATGCTGGTAATCAAATTCGTATCGAATGTCCCATGCAATAATTCTTTTAATAATATTCAATCTAACATTTAATATTTTTGATTCTGACTATAAATTCATTTTTCTACATGTTCATCAACTCTAATATTTCTAAATTTAGAATTTTTCTTGTTCTTCTAATATTTAATTAAGATTTTCATTATAATTTACAAAAAAAATTTTAATTTTCACAAATTCACATTATTTTCCAGATATTTCAACTATATAGTTATGAGTCCAACTTCATTTGGTAAAAAACAATGTATGTTGTGTAACAAAATTGGCGGTTATATTGACTTGTGACGGATGTCAACAAGCTTTCCGTAGTAAACATGGCATTGAACATCGACAACAACTTAATATTGAATTAGAAAATATAATGCAAGAACATGATTTAATTCAACAAGATATTGAATTATCAATAGATAATGATTTATTATTGAAAGAAATTGATAAATGGGAACAAGAATCTATGAAAAAAATTCAATTAGCAGCTGA